GTAGGCTCTTACAGATTCATGTGAAATTACTTAAAGTTGGAGCCTTGGGTGATGTGTTAACATTGTAGGAGATTTGATATTGTTTGAGTATCTAATTTTTGAAGTTAAATCAAGACAGACACACGTTTCATTGCAGATACTGAAATCTGAAATTCTTTTTTCCTGACGGCTTGGAACAAATAACGATGAAGCAGGCCAAAACATTAATGCACAATAATCGACTACATATGTCCTGTAAACATGTTCTGTTAGGTTGCTATGAAACTTTTTATTCTTGGAGGATGAGAAGATGACTATAAGACTGCCTTAAAGCTGCTGTTCCTTGGACAGAGGGTCAGTGGTAATTTGAACGTCTGTGGGGTACTTAACTCTTTATTCTGAAAATCACAAAGATCAATCTTTTTTTATTTAAGTAAAAATAGATCAGGGAGGATGAAGTAAGTGTTTAAAAATTGCTTTTAGTGAAATACTGCTTTTTCCTTAATATTTTTAATGTTTTCATTAGATTTCATAATGTCATCATAAGATTTACCTTATTAGGCAACACTTCTGGTGTATGTATTCACTTGCTTAACATGCATCTAATGTTCTTCCTGAGTTATTGGGATGGAGAGATGAGAAAAATCATCTTTTTTTCAGGTCGCCCTGTTTGCCATATTGCTTCCCTTATTAGTTGGAAAAGGATACCAACCTGTTCATATGGCTGAAACTAGGGATGTTTAGAAAGCTGGACAGGTTAATGGAAGTGGACACCAGCATAACATCTTTCTTCAGAGGCTGACGCACCTGATTTCAGATAACGTGGTTTTCCCTGGAGTGACAAGTCAGCTTGAGGTTTGCGTTAGCTTGTTTTGATCTGTGTGGCTGACGCAGGTAATAGGAGAAGAGTATGTTTTAGGAAATGTTTCTTCATTGATACGGAAATGAAGTACGGAAAGACAAAGTATCTCTGGGTTATTTGTCTGCTTTCAGCTGAAATCTGACTCTGCTGGTTAAAAAAGGATGATGTGAACAACTGTTTATCAAAATTTACTTCCTTTTCAAAATGAGAAAAATGAAAAATGTGAAGTAAATTAGATAAAAATACATAGGCTTAATGCCTTTAAATGTTCACTGTTTAAATATTTTGTGCCAGTTTTAGTAATGGTTTTCATGTTCTGTCAATAAAAATAGAAGGTTAAAGCCATGCTATACAATTTTTGATGTACAGGGAAATAAATACATTTGTTTTATCCTAATGATGTGTAATATCTTTGTGTTAAAGGACTAGGTTTTATAAAGAAAACCCTATCCCTTAAAACTCTATCCAAGGCTTGTTTTCACATCTCATGAACAGTAAAGTGCTTTAGGTTTTGCTTTTAAGGGATCAGTATTATTATTTTAAATGTACAATCAAAACCATTCCTGAGTAATGAATCTCATTTGATGACAATTACCTGGCTCACTCTTTATTCTTTTAGGCCATAGTACTTCAGGATTATGCCTTTAGTTCTAAAAGTCCAAATTAGGTGCTTCAAGCTGATCATGTTATAGTTGTCATGTTGTATTTCAGATTTGCTTTTATTGTTTCTCACTTCATTTATTTAATCATACTCCATTGATAGCAGCATGCTGCCTCTAATTTAATATCTTAATAGTATTTCAGCGGTTTTATTAGGATGTATTTTATATTTTGAATTAGAGGGGCATACTAGTGTGGTGGATCTAATATGCTTTTAAATTAATTCACCTACCCTAAATTGATACTAAAGAATTAATTTTGAAGTTTTTGTCAATTATTAGTTAAAAGCTCATTTCACAGAATTGATCAAATACATTTCCATTTTTGTGTGATGATATAAAATTATTTATGGAATCAATGTGTTACGCTATTTCAGTGTGCTCTGAAAAATCTGTTAATGAAGAATAAGGTTAGGTAAGGTTAGTGTGATCTGAATTCTGGGCACTTCTCCATAATCTGTTTGTGTGGTTTTTTTTTTTTTTTTTTTTCTGTTCTGCAAGCTATGTGGTAGAGTTTTAAAGCAGACTTACCTGCATTTCAGTAAATCATTATGTATTAAAAATGGAACAGAAATTCACATGAAGGAAAAAAAAAAAGGCCAATTGAATATTTTGATTTCAATATAAAAATGCTATATTTTTAAATTTACTGTGAATTTAACTTTATTTTTTCTTCAATCTCTTCTGTGGTCTTATTTTTTCAGTGTGTTTTTTTTTTCTGGTTATGTCCTATATCAAAATACCATGTTAAGCAAGTGAAGAGAAATAAATTGATTTGCCAATAGACTTTTAATAAGTAGGAAAGTGTAATATGTCTTGGTAATGTTAATGCATTTTTAGTTTATTAAAATAGGCGTTGTTTTAAATTAAAAATTAAATGCATCAGTGAAAGAGAAGGGAAACAAGATGTCTAATTCACAATACCCTAGATTAAGTAAAAAAGAGGGGAAGAGATGTTTGCCAAGTGTTTATAGTGTTATAGATGGACGTGGGTACAGGGGCAGGTCTCCCCGTTGCATCTGAAGCAGGGCTTCCCCACGTTCACAGGTGGTGGTAAGGCCTGGGGCAACTACACATTTGCACCGGTGGTTTATGTTCCTCTTTCCTTGACTGTGGCGCCTGTCACTGAAGAGAGAGCGCGCCAGAGGATGCCGTACAGCCAGGGAACTGAGATGGCAGCCATCCCTCAAGAATGGGAACAGTTTACACAGTATACACTCCCTCTTGGTTCAGAAATAATCTTGCGTTCTCCTTGTTACAGAAGGTCTTTCATCTTTCCATGGCATTATTTTCCTTCTCTGTCCTATGGATTAATTTACTGATCTATTTACTCTGTAGAAGTGGGACTAATTAGCCCTGAAAGCTAAAGTTTCTTACTCTGCATGGGAGAAGCATAGTACTGATGTGACTGAAATCTTCCTCTTTTGTCAGCTCTTAAGGGAAGAGATAATTCCTGCATGAAGCTTTTTGAACTCATTTTTGTTATTTCTTGGCAGTAAAGCCAAGACACAATTGGTGTCTGTCAGAAGTGAGTGTAACTAAATTATGAGGACCATAAAAACAAGTTACATCTTCCCCAGTTCTGGGTTTCCCAGAGCATTCTGTGTTTCTGTTACTTGGAATGAAAATCTTTTAGGGCTGTGGCTGTTTTTATATAGTGACATTGCCAAATACAATGGTAGTCCTAGTAAAGGAAGAATAGAAATACACAGGCTAGTAGAGTTACTGCAGCACGCTGGTAAAATAAATGCCCAGCAAGAATAAATGTCAGTACTACGAAGTTACTGCCATTCTTACCTCCTATGCCATTTTCACTCTGAACAACTTTTGAGCACAGTATCTGCAGAGATTATTTTCCTTCCAGGAGATAGGAAACAAAGTATAGATGACCCACATCTGGAAGTTACTGAGATCAGCTTGCTCATATACCTTGGAAATGAGATCTGGCAGGTTTTTCTACTTGTAAAATGTTCTCTGATCTGCAAGGTACTTTGCTGTTATTCAGAGTTGATCAGGTTAATACTGGATGTGTTTGACATCCAGACAACAAAGCCCTACTCTATTTTGAGAGCTGTGAAACAGTTTTGTTAATCTTGTTACCCCCCCACCCCCCAACAAATAAACAAAAACCCCCAAATTGAAAAATCAACACAAAACAAAGTAACCCTTGAAGTATAAAACTCAAAACACCAGATAAAGCATGTGGACAGGGTACAAGCAGTGACAGTGCTGTGCAGTGATATGTGAAGATCAAAGATGTGTATTGAGAAGATTTGTAAAATGTACCTCCCTTTAGCATAGCATGAATACAGCTGTGGGTAATGGCTCTTTTATCATCCTTTTCTACAACCTTTTGTTAGCTTCCCATTCTCTAATTAGTTAACTTTCAGCTATTGAAATTAGGAGCCTTCATAGTAACAACTTTCCTAATTATTAATTGATTAGTCTTTCTTTATTTATTTGGTGATTATTTAGCCACTGGTGTGCACTGTGCTCACTTTTTTCCATTCAGTTCAAAGTCTTGGCATATTCATTCATGATGGACTCCTATAGAAACCTACTGTCTATTTCCCAGTGTTCTAAAGGGAAAATTTACTACCATAACTAGGTTGTCCTGTTGATCTGCTGAAAGAGTACAGTACTGCTGGCAAATATTGTAAATAAGCCTTATAGAGCATATTGTAGTGCTGTTTCATCTCCCTCCCCCTCCTTGTTTCTAATTTCATGAATTGAACAATTTTGTCTTTAGCCATCTTTTAGATAGATGAATACATGGAATCTGAAATTACTGTGGCACAGAAACATGTCAGGGCTAAAATGACCTTTTGCACTCCCACACAGAAGATACAAAACGCAAATTACTTGGTTTCTAGTCTTGTGACTCTGACAGCAGAAACAGCTTTTTTCTCTTGCCTTGGAGACAAACCAAATTCTTTAGTACGCACAGCCTTACCTTATGAAAGAAGACTGGCAAGACTGGGCACTGTTTATGGAGAGCATGGGCAAGAGACCGTATACTTTCGTACAGATGCTCTTGTAAATCCATCTGCCTTTGAGTATGGACAGTTAGTTTTGACTGCCTGAAAATAATTGAAGTAACAGTACTTTTCTTTATTCTAAGATTTTTTTTTAAATGCTTGTAAGTATTTGTTATTCCTCTCATATAAGCATGAGGTGTATGAATGCTTATATGTATGTACATGAGAACAAATTATTTTCCTTGAAGTGTTAAGAACATTGTGAGTTACAGAAACTGTTCTTATCTTTCATTTTGTCTCTCCTTGTCTTCCTCTGAGCTGTTACAAATTAAAGTATCTGTATCTGTAATGGATGTTTATTGTTCCTACACCTAAAAAAGCCCACATAGAGCTGTATGCTTAATTGCAGGTGACTTGTTTATAACTTGAATATTTCTGAAGCTATGTTTTTCACTTAGAGCTGGTGTGTTAAAGGAATTACGATTTTTTGTTTGCTTGTGGTTTTATTTTTTTATTTTTTAGGTAAAGATAGAGTTTTCAACACCCCTTTGTGTGAACAAGGAATAGTTGGCTTTGGTATTGGAGTTGCTGTTGCAGGTGCTACAGCCATTGCAGAAATTCAGTTTGCTGATTACATTTTTCCAGCATTTGATCAGGTCAGTACTAATAAACTTGAGAGAAGTAAAAAGAAATCTTATGAGTATTTAAATTATTCTTCTGTTAGCATTAATACTTGTTTTGACTATGTAATTTTTGCAAATATATCCACAGATGTATTACTAATATTTATGCCTGCTTTAAGTAAACAGGAAGGTACCAAGGCCAGTCTGAAGGCTCATTAAATAATGGAAATTAAAGATGTGGTTTGAAGCAAATGTTTCTGTTTTTATTTTGGTTTTGTGGCGGTGTTGGCTTCAGCAGCCTTAAATTCCTCAGCTGTCTTCCCAACACCATCTCTTCTCTACACTGCTGCAGCCAGCTATGTGTCCACAGGACAAACTGCAGATTTGAACTAGGTTGATTGACAGTGTGGGAATGGGGAAACAACCGGGTTATATGGCTGCTTCTGAGGCCTAGGCATCTAACTTGAACACACTAAATTATTGCTTCATTTGCCTTGGCAAATATTTACTTTTCCACTGACTTACAGGATTCCTTTGCTTCTGTTTTGGTCCTCCGAATCCCATGCATGGTGCAGATGATGTTATATCTCATGTTTGTAGAGGTTTAATGACACATGACTAAAGGTTTTGGACTGAATGTTACTTTTTATATATAAATCTTCCCAGATTGTTAACGAAGCAGCAAAATATCGTTACCGCTCTGGAGATCTGTTTAATTGTGGAAACCTCACCATCAGAGCCCCCTGGGGCTGTGTGGGTCATGGTGCATTATATCACTCTCAAAGTCCAGAAGCATTTTTTGCTCACTGTCCTGGAATAAAGGTACAGTAACTCTTATTTTCTGAGTATTAATTTTGTTTGTTTGTTATTTGTTTGTTTGTTTTTTAATGAACCTGACTAACAATGAGTATGGGTGTAGACAGGGGAAGAAGAATGGAAGTCAGTCCACAACAAAATATCTGAATATGTTAATTAAACTCTTTTGGAAGTTTTCCAGTTATAAAACTTAAAGTGTGTTAAGTGTTTGAGAATTTATAGCCATTATTGGAGCAATCTTTAGTAGACATAAGATTTTTGTATTTGTGTACTTTTTGCACTAAAAGCGTACATTTATATCTGTTCTGTGTCCAGTATAGTATGGAAACTAAAAACTGACACTAATAAATAGTACTTTCCTTTATTTTTCCCTTTCTGCATCTGTCTTAAGTGCATTATCAAATTCATATATATGAGTGAGAGTGACAGGCAATGGGCACAAAGTGAAACACGAGGTTCTGTCTGAACATAAGGAAGCACTTGACACAGGTTGCTCAGACAGCTTCTGGAGTCTTCATCCTTGGAGGTATTTAAAAGTTGCACGTGGCCCTGGGCAACTGGTTCTAGGTGGCTTTGCTTAATCAGGAGCATTGGACCAGATGACCTCTGGAAGTCCCTGCCAACCTCAGCTGTTCTGTGATTCTCTGAATCATAACTTTAGGCAAGCTTTCTGCGTGAGATGGTGGCATCCCTTGAAGCTAAGATATCTAGCTCTTAGATGGATAACCTTCCTGGAGAAGAGGGAAGGGTGGGATCCAGTTGTCTCAGATTAAGAGCATTGTTTGCCAGCTCTCCATTTCTTTTCTGAGTAAATTTTTGTCTATGGACTTGTATTTTTGGGTTAACTGCAATCCAGTCCATTGAGAAATGACTCGTAGCTTGATTTATGTGGAAGACCTAAGCAAACCTAGTGTTTGTGTATGCTAAAGACACATGTTCATTGTTTAGCTGTTGTTGAAACTGTCTATATATAATTTTGGTGTTATAAAACTTCAGATATCATTCATTTACAGGGAGGCGGTAGCCATTTCTCCTACTTGTTTCTCTTTACTTAATAAAAAAATCTTGTATTATTCACATTTTATTTCATGATATCTGAGAAACAGAATGCATTTTTGTCTTTGAGTATTCCTTATAATCTTTGAGGCGTTCCTGCTCTGAACTTGAAAATATTTCCTGATCTAGACAAAAGCCATCTACAAAGGCTTTTGCCAGGTAATTGAATCAGATGGTTTCTTGAGCTTGTTTAAAGACAGAGTAGTTTATTATCATATGAAAGCACAAGATAACTTGTATGGTTTAGATACTGATGCTAGGTCTAGCTAATGTATACTGCTCTTGTTGGTCAATCCCAAATCTTTATATACTGAACAAAGTGCTAAGATTTAGTGGTCCACTCTGGTGCTTAAAACTCCAGGATTTTTATTTTGTGTTTTTCTTAAGTGAAAGGTGAGGTTTGGATTTCCAAAGCAAAAGGAAATTTGTACAATTTTGGCTGTTCAGGGGAAGTACTATAACCATTAGTACTTAAGACAAGGCTTGTTGAGGTGACGAGGACATTGATAGATGGTTATATCTTTTGTCTGCTGTTGTGAGGATATATGTCTTAATGGATCAGACTGTCTTCCAGATTGCTGTATTGAGACTCTCCATTCAATTGTAAGACTCCTCCAGTGTATTTGCTGTCATGGCTAGAAGCTTTCTTTTAATTTCCAGCCTAAATTTGTTCCTGACTAACTTGTATATTTAACTTATCTGTCCTTCATATGCTAAGAGAACAATTATTTTCCCTTTAGTCTTTGTTTTGTTAGACTAAACAAACCAAACTATTAAAGAGATATTAACGATTTCTGAAGCTCTTTTGGCACCTGTTTCATTCATTTTCTTTCAAAACAGTTGATTTAGTCATGAAGTATTCCAGCTGAGTTTCTAGCAGTGATTTTTGTAATAGCTCTAACGCTTACTTGGCTATATTATTATGCTTTTTTTAGGGCTGTACTGCATAGTGTCCTAGTCATTCTTTGATGAGATAATAAATTCAGATGTGAATTTCTACTGCTGAGTTCTAAATTTATAACAAAAGTGTAGTGTTTAAATGTGTGACTTTTCAGTATGTATTGTTCAGTTTGCTTTTGCTTTTGTTAGTCTTGTCCTCAATGTGAACTAGGTCCTTTTGGTGTCATCCTCTGTACTGGCAGTGACTCTCAGCTTTTGAATAGTTTTCATTACCATGTTCTGACTTAACTTTGTAAATGAATAAGGTAAATAAAGTCTGTCGTGAAAACGATCCCTAAGGAACTGCACTAGTAATATGCATCAGTTGGGTAATTTCCCATATGTCTGTTACCAAATGCTTTGGTGAAATATTAATAGACTGCTTTTCCCTTGTTTAGAAAAATCACTTGTCAAGTTTATTTGATGTGATAGCAGATTTAGGTTGTGTTTTGACTCTTCTCTATTACTTTCATATAATTAAATGTTCTTACTCTCAAAAAATATTTTGAAGCCTTGGAAACTCCTGGAGGCAGTAAGTTAACATGTCTGTAGTTACATGGACTACTTTTTCTTTAAGTGCGTAGTTACATGGACTACTTTTTCTTTAAGTGCTACAACTAATGTTTTCAGTCAGAGGGGTCCACTTCTAACTTCACAGCTATAAAAATGCTTGCTAGTAGACTTCATGCTGCATGTGCCAGCTCTTTGAGATGTCTGGGATGTAAATTAGCTGGTCCTTCTGATTGAAGGAATTGAGCTCTTGGCTTCTAATTTCATTTAAACTGTGATAATTTGCTAATTTTCTGTTCATAATCAGCATTCTGTTAGATCATTCAAAATGCACTCTTATGTTGGCAGATCGATTATACTTTTTCCTTTCACGTATTCAGATTACATCTGGAGGCCTTGCTTAATTTTTTCTTTGCTTGATAATAGTTTTGGGTATTTTTTGGTATTTGTTCATTTCCAGAATAAATAAATTTCAGGCTTCCACCATAAGCAAAGGAAGTCAACTTTAAATATTTCCTTTTTTTAGTCCTCAAAACTTACTGGGCAAAGTGTGGATACCATCCAGACCTTCTCTGATGAATCTTTACTTAAGCAACTGAGAATCATTCAGCTGAATATTTTTGTCATGCATCTACATTAATTTTACTAAACTAACATAAAATATTTTTTTTAAATCTGACTAACTCATCTGTTCCTTCTACTTTAAAATATTACTGTTAAGATTTTAGTTCTACCTTATTGAAGGGGAATCCAATAGTATTTAAATCATGGTATAGAGGGGAACTCTTCAAGTCTTATTGATGAACAAAATAAAATTAAAAATTTGCAGTGTGTGTTAGTAATGTAGCACTGATGTTAATTCACTTTAAGAACTGCTCAATCTGTACATAGGCTTATTTAAAGCAAATAGTTGCTTGAGTTTAAATATTAATTGAGGAAGCTTGTAGCAGAATTGCAGTTTAAATAAACTATTTAAAAAATATTTTTACAGATTGTTATTCCAAGGAGTCCTCTTCAGGCCAAAGGACTGCTGCTGTCATGCATAGAGGACAAAAATCCATGCATATTCTTTGAACCTAAAATACTTTACAGAGCTGCAGGTAAAGATTTATATGTTGTATTTTTCAGTAAAGCAACACTTTTTCCCCACATATATGTTGATAGTCCCAGCTGAAACAATACTGTAGCAGAAGTCTTGACTTGTTTTGATTTTAGCTATATTTTGGGGTTGTGTTTTTAGAGGAACTGTGAAAACTGAATAAGATCTCTAAATTTGACTGCATAGATAAATGAACATTTACAGTCTGATTAATAATCAGTTAACTTTGAAAGTGGAATGCTTTGTACAGTCTTGGGTTGAAAAGAGGAAAAAAAAAAAAAGAAATAGAACTAAGAAGCATTGTCCTTTATCAAATTGCAGTATAAATTTGACAGAAGTTAAACTGCTTTCTTTTTGATAACTCTACGTACAAAAATAAGTTTCCAGATCAGTTTTTATTTGTACAAAAGAACTGAACATCACCACCACCATTTTCCTAAAGTTAAAATTTCTTTGAAGTGCTTAATTTCTAAATACCTTGAAAACCTGCAACTTAATCTTATGTGGAAGGAAGTGTGATTGCCGTTACTTTATTCATTTGCTTTAGACATAGTGAACTTTTTGGTTCAAAGAAGTTGTAACAGCTATCATTATGTGTAACATATAAGAACAGAGTAATTTGAAGGTGATAGTGCTTGAGTTGGTTATAAAAATTAACTTGTTACTTCTTTGAACTAGAGAAACTGAACTGAGAAAAGATAATGGTAGAAAACAAATTTTGCATGTGGAGAATGATTGGGTGAGCTACTCATAAAATAGAACTCAAGCCATCACTTTCCTTCAGCATTTCTATGTCATATAGCTTTATATACCAACTATGTTTGATCCTGTCAATCCAATTTATAAGTTGACTCTGTGTGTGGACTGAAGTTGAGCGAAGGACAAAATGTTTGTATTTTACTTTGGATGTTTTAAAAGCACTTTTCCATCAGTGCATCCATTTTGTTAGTAAATTTATACTCTTCCTAGAGAAAAGAACCAGAGAATAACAAGTGAAAGATTTAGAAAGTAGACATCAAAGCTACAAAAAAATAGCAGAATAACTGAGGAACAAATAGGATATTTACTGGGAAAGCTGCTTATTTGCTTTTATAGTTTCAAAAAAGACTCAGAATTCCCCTTAGCAATGTATTTTTAAAAGTGCAACTATTTTTATTGTGGTGTGATGTATCCAAAGGGCATTGCATTCCTTAAGTTCAGTGTATTTTGATAGCTTACTGAAATTTAGCAATAAAGACCTCTGACTCTTAATTTAGATGAAGTAGCTTGGAAAATGAACTTGAGTCTTAGAGTCCTGTTAAACAACAACAAAAAAATGGAAGATTAAAATTGCTGTGTCTTTAAAACAACCCTTTCTTTCATTTCCCCACCACCCCCAGTATTTACAAGTCATAAATACAGACTGTAGAGTTAATAAAATACTTGCTTTCATAGTGGAATGAATAGCTGCACATCAATATCAGACAGCTTTTGAGAATATAGGGAGGTTTTTGTGTCTGAGGAAATGACTTGTAAAGCAATTGCTTGATCGTCTAGTGAACATAAATCAGCGTTGTGATTGGAATCTTGAGTAAAAGTGTGCTGAAATAGTGGTTAATGTGGTTTATGTGCTGGTCAATAACCAACCACAGCATTGCTGCAAGATGATGTTGCTAGTTTCTTAAAGACTGTGGTTTCTTCTAATATTCTGATGCCCTGATTTTCAGAGACATTACCTATATTTTATCTTAGAATTTCTGAGAACTTTGATTTAGTGATGTAGGCTGCAATTTATAGTACATTTTTGTCAACATGTGATGGGGATGATTGTGACAGGTAACTTCTTTTATTTTGATACAATTTTGAGTGGACTTTTTGTTATTTCTACAATATAAATCAGGAATATATTATGTGGAATGTTTTTGATGTGGCTTTTATTTTCATTGGAAACATTTCTCTCTCGCATTGTTAGTTCATCATCTTAACTGTTTAGCTGTCCTTTGTGTGTTGTGTCAGTTTAACTGGAAGAGTGGTGTCTGAGAATTTCTGTTAGAAAATATCTCTGAGTTCCTTCTTATGCTGCTGGCCATGATCAGGCTTTCTTGTAATTCCACCATAGCAATGAAGTGGCCCGATGAATTCAGAAATGGACCAGGATCATCATGATTGATTGGTCCAAAGGCAGCAGCAGTAAGACACAAGCCTGATAAACAAGAACAGGATAAATGGTGGAAGGAAGGATTTTAAAAATGCAACTGTCTTCTGTGTCCCATATAACCGTGTTGATTCTAGCAGGAGAAAGAAGATAGTACAGATTCAGAAATTCTCTTACACAGTAGGCTTAAACTATATATATATTTCTTGTCTCTTTCCATTGATGTCTCAAAACACTACAGGGTTTTTCAAGGCTGTGAACATGTAGGCTTTCCAAAACAAGATGAGAAAATGGTATCAGATATCCTCTGTTGCTTTATTTACCTTTTTTTTTTTTGAGGGGTGGGGGGGCAGGGGCAGGGTGGGAGGAGTTACTGATTTCCACCAGGAACTTGCACTTTGACTTTGATACATTTTTAGGAGAAAGACAGACATTAATAGTATACTATGGTATAAAATCTCACCTAAGATTTGGGCTCTCATTGTTCCAGACAAAAAAAAAATATATTTCCATGATGATGACTAAGGCATCAAATAATAAATTTATATTGTCCCTACCATGAATTTTTTTTGTTCTAGCTTTGTGTGAATAGTCATGTTTGTTGCAGAGAACTTCATGACTGATGTTACAGTGGGTGTATAGGGACTTCACTGAAAAATTAAGGTGTCAAAGATGATAATGGGAAGTAGTATTTTCTATCTGTAAAATTAATGTAGGCATTTGAGCTTCATCATTCTTTGCTAATGGAATTTTCTTTCCCCCTATGAGGCCTTTAAATAGCTATGTGTGATATTTTGTTCAGAGTTGATATCTTTGAAATTGCAGCTGAAAATAGGCTGTAGATGGGATAGTCTTTAAAACACAGGATAACTATTCTTGTTTATGGGGGTTGAAGGTACTAATGCTTTGTTTAAAACAAACAAACAAAATAAAAAACCAACCAAACAAAACCCCACAAAAACTCCACACTCACTACACACCAACCAAACAAAAGCCTATGCCCTCTGCTTCTGCCCTGAAGTGTTGATATTATTGTTGAAATTAGCTGTTGGGTGCTAGTGGTGGAAGATAATAGATATCCATCTTAGGATATATAACCTCAAGTTGCTTTTTGAGAATGTTAAGCCAAGTGCCAGGTCATTGCTGTTTTATGGAAGCTCTTATGCAGAACCAACCTTGTTTTGCATCTGAAGCATACCTCCAAGGAGCTATATAGGCCCATCAATTGTTTTCAAGTGGTTTGTGTTTTGGTTTTTTTTTTTTTTTTTTTGTTGATGACAGGTCAGGTTTTTCAAGATTCAAGCATACATTTTTTTCATAACGGAAAAGATATTGTACAAAAAGAAGAAGAAACTTTGTAAGTGTTTTGAAACGCAAATCTAGTCTCCAAGATAAATCAGAGCTGTAGCACAAAATATTTCAGTGTGACTACCACATGGATATTGTGATTGCTTACTATTTTTTTTTGAATAATGAATTTAGCTGCAAGTCTTCCTGAATGAACACAGGTTTGCTTATTCAAGTATGTTGTATGCTTATTCAGACATGAGGTAAAACTAACCATGTTATTAAATGAACATTATTTTTTATATGAATATTTGATATTTGCCAATATTTGCCTTTACTCACACAAGATACAAGAATAAAATCAGACCTTAAATCTTCACCTTAGTCATCCCTGGGAGAAAGATGGATATCAAAGTATATTTGCCTTAAGTTCACCACATTCATGCTGTGATGAACTGAGGAAAAAAGGCAACTTCCAGAGTGAAGAACAGCTTTGCAAGAACATTTTGAAAACATTTTCCAGTTCATTGAAAAAGTAACTCACATCTTGGAGACCAAAGATCAGTAGTAACACCAAAAGGAGGTAATGGACTTTAAGCTAAGATCTTAAATTTTGCCTTGGTGTCTGTTAATAGTAAATTTTAAGTTACAGAAGAGAACTGTCTATTTTGTTTGAATGAAATACAGTTGATAAGTTTCACATTCTGCCTTAGCTCTGATGTGCCACCAATTTGAAATAGTCCTATATACAGATATATGTGTTTGTGTATAGTTATATATAACATGTTATCTATGTGCATATATACGTTTATATAGATACGTATGTCTGTAAGACATATATCATAAAGCAGTAACTGGATTGGAAAAGAAAAAGTATACTTAGCATGCATTGTTGTACCTAGTAACTGCAGATTTCTTCTTCCCATACTCTGAAGCAATATAGTGCTGCATCTTTGGCTAAGCTGACAGGGCAGGACTGGCTGTGTCTCTTGCCCACTCACTCTCTCTACTAGCAATTTGTTTAGCAGGGGACTGGCTGTTCCTCAGTGTGACTGGGCTCTTTGGAGTGCTCACCCTTACTCTTTCTTTACTTGCCTGGACAGTTATGGCAGTGACACCACCAGCTTGGTTGCACATATGTGGAGTGAGAATGAGTGTTTCTCCCCCAGGACAGCTCTTTTCCTTTCAAAACTTGAGTGGGGAATCTTAGCCAGTCTAGCAGCCCTGCATGGTTCCCACAGGAGAGGGAACAGCCTTTTACTTGCCTCACTCCAGTCCCTCCTGGTAGCTGGTGTTGGGGACACATGCTGGTGGCCAAGACCCTCACTTGCTGCTGTAGCTCACACCACAGGCCCAGGGCTTCTGCACCCCGGTTTGACTCCTATTGCTGGCCCAGTGTCTTGTCTTCTAATGCTGATCTCACCAGCAGCTGGTACGTTGTCCTTGCAGCACACACCCCTGCACAGGGTAGGGTTTCAAAAGAAGCTAGGACTGACCACCATGATGAGGCACAGACAACATGCAGACGGGCCTGTTTTATGTGCAACTGGGCCCTTCTGTAACCCTTTCTGTTTGTTCCCCACTTTGTTCCTCCCCAGCCCCCTTCACCTTCACATGCTCTCCTCACCTGGTTTAGTTCCATGCACCCCCCTCCAACATCCTGGACCCTCAGGTTTGCTGCTTATCAATTGCAGAGTCCTGGTTTGCCCATAGTTTCTTGATAGCCCTTCACTCAGTATTCCTGACCAGGTTTGCTTCCTGTCTTTGTTATGTTGTGTCTGTTTTGTTTATAGCTTCTCCTTTTTCTTTATCATCCCATTTGCTAAGGTCCTCCATCAGATAATCTTACTGAAAGAAACATTCCCACATTCCCTGTACTCTTATCAAGAAGTGGGAGTGAGCGGGTTTGTTTCTTGTTACTACCTTCCTCATGGTTTGTTAGGTTTGTGTCCCTGTGTGTTCTTCCTTACGGCTTCTCCCTCTTCTTATTATCTCCTTTTGCATTGAAAAGATCCTTGTCCAGACACCCTTAAGGGAGCAGATGCTCTCTCCTTCCACATAACCTTAGAGTGGTCATCAGAAGTTTTGTGTATGTTAATTTGCCTTGTATAAAATTAGAAAGGAGCAAAGAAACGTGTCATTTCTGAGTAAAAGTCCAGAGTTAAATATACAGGTATGCATATAGAGAGAGACTTACGTTGCTAACTTATGAGATTATAAAGTTACTGAAAGTGCTGTGGTGACATCCCCCTAAATGTCAGAGATACTAAGAAAATATCTGAACTAAAAAGAAAAAGGAGGCTCTGATTTATAGAAAGTAGTTAACAGCCTGTGCAGTGTCAAGAGCACATAATGATTGTGAATCAAAGGAGAAGATGAGTCACCTTGACATTATCAGGTTTAGACATCTTGTGGAGAACCTACTCTCATGTTTTTTGACCTTTTCAGTTTCATTTAATTGTACTATATATGACATTGGTGGTTTAGAAATAAATACGACTTGCATCAGTGGTTGTTATAGAGACAAGACAGGTAAGATGAGAAAACGTGTTTTCTGTCTGCTGTTCAGACTGTTCTTTTAGAAAAAGCAACAGATGGTGCAGCCTCTTAAAATTAACTTGTGATGGCCCTTTTTCACTGATAATTACAAATTTCAGTTAATTGTTTTCTTTGAAGTCTGTATTTTGAATATTTGATTTAAAGTATTTTATTTATGTCTTCAGTAATAGATGAATGGGCTGCTTTGTATATAAACGTTACTGTCCTTGTTTGGCTAATTATTATGGAAGAATATGCACAGAATAATTTCATATGCTACTTTTCATCATTGTTAGTGGAGGGAGGAGTTTTTGCAAAGGCATTTGAATAAAATCCTGCCAAATCTGAACTACTCTATAAATTTTTGAGAAGATGAATTTTGCACTTAAAAATGTCAGGAATTCTAGATGAGCTCATCCAATGGACATCGTGTTGCAGAATGGTTTAGCTGTAATAAGAGATTAGTTAATTTGTGTAATTGTAATCTGCAGTGAGCAAGGGCTGGATATGCCTTTCCTCTCTTTCTTTCCCCACCCTATATTCCTTTAGCCACTTGTTATTCAAATAGATTATTACAGGAAGACACTGACATTTTAATACATTAAAAATAAGTTTGCAAAGAGATCTGATTTTGTGCTATGTTTAAAAGCACCTTGTGTTTAAAATAATTTTTTTTTCTTTATTCCTTGATTGAATGGACATATGTTCTTGACTTAAGCTGAAAAAACAGTTCCTGTTCTGTTTTTAGGAAGAGTGATTTAGTTAACATATGTGTTTCCCCTTGCACTGATCAGGTGAAGTGAGATATCTCTAACGTAAGCATAGGCAAAAACATATTTACTGTGAGGGTGGTCAAACAGAGGAACAAGTTGCCCAGAGAGGTTGTGGAGTCTCTCACCACGGAAATAGTGAAAACCTGACTGGACATGGCCCAGAACAACTGCTGGTGACCTTGCTCTGAGCAGGGGGCTTGGACTAGGGGATCTCCAGAGGTTGCTTTCTACCTCAGCCATTCTGTGATTCTGTGAAATTAGTAGTATTTATATATCATTACTGATTAAAAAAAAAAAAAAATCTGCTATAACTTAAAAAAAATATACACCACTTGATTTTATTGAAAAGTTGTTTAAAACTTGTAAGCTTGGAAAACCTGTAGGTCGTTCTACTTGTATTGGATCTACCATACCAGTGAAGGAAAAAATACAAAACATTTAATTTCTCCTGCTTCTTCAGAAGCAGTTTTGTTCAGCAGGAACCTAATAACTATTTTCTGAATTACGAAATATGTTAACAAAAAAAGTAAACCACCTTTTTTATAAATTGATTTTGTTGATTTTATAAATTGATTAGAAAGAGTTAAGGTTTTTTTTTTTCGACTTATCACTGAAATTTTTTTTTAAGTATTATTTGACTTCCTGATGCAAGGACAAGTTCACCTTTAGATCAAAACAATATTTCTTTTAAAATATGATATATGGATGTCTTATCACAGTTTTATTCATTAAATCAGTCAACGTATAGTGCATTGGAGCATTGATTCAAAACTAGCACAACTGACCTAATATATTTCCATCTGAAAACTAGTAAATGGGTCTTCAGCTGAGTGGAACCACCTTAAATGTCTTAGAGAACACAAGATGCTTAATTTTTATCTATTCTCTCTAATTGTGATGTATTTTTGATGAATAGATAACATTTTTTTCAAAGCAAAAATATTTAGACTAATTTAAAACTGCTATAATCATAAGTTCTTGGTGGCACTTTCTGTGTAGGTTCTGAAAACATTTTTCCTCTATTTAGACATAAAACTTTGGAGCATCATTTTTGGCAGATGCCAGGAGGGCACTATCACAGCTTTTCCTTTTTGTCTGGATATTAAAGTATGATTTCAAGTCTCTCTTGATGCTTATCAGAATTAACTACAGTGTTTACTTGAGATTTTTTTATCAATTGTAGCAGTGTCCATTTAGAAATCTGATGCTGATATTTTGAATTGGGGTACACCAGGACTTACTGCTGTCATTGATGTGTATATGTGTATCTTATTGCTGTGGTATATAACATAAGTTAAATGATACACTGAATGTGTAGTATTTTTATCAGTATGATTAAAAATATTTTAAACTGCAAATAAACCTTTAAAATAAAGGCTATTACTCAATGTGATCTTGGTCTGTTGTTTTAGATGGCACTAGCACTGAAAAAATTTTCTTGTTTATTTTTATGGGATAATATTGAATAGTAAAGAAATCTAATGCTTATTTCCCCCTTTATTTTTATTTATTTAGTGGAACAAGTTCCTGTGGAGCCCTACAACATTCCACTGTCTCAAGCTGAGGTGCTGCAGACAGGCAGTGATGTGACACTTGTTGCTTGGGGCACTCAGGTCAGTAGAGCTCTTACTAGCTATTTGTCATCCAGTAAAACCTAGGCTAATGGTTAGGGGATGTGTGAATAGTGTTGCATTCAGGCTCAAGTGCCAGACAATAAACTGCGTGTATCTTCTGTCACTATATGCTTGAATAAATGATTGCTAGTGTTTATATTTATATGAAACCTGCTTTTTATTGTGTAAGATTTCATTCATTTGTCATGGTTTGAGTTCAAAGGGCAACTGAGCACCACACAGCCGGTCACTTCCCCCTTCATCTACCAGCGCTGAGAAGGGAAAAATAAACCAGGCCTGGGATTTGAGATAGAACAGGGAGGGATGAATCACCCATTATGGTCACGGGCAAAAGGCAGACTTGTTAGGGGAAGAAAAAAAGAACATAGATTTAATACAGACACTAACAGCAACAACACTTAATAGACAGAGTAGGACAGTAAGAAGTGTTACCAAATCTTGAAAACACCTTCCCCCCACCCTTCCCTTCTTCACAAGTTCAGCTTTGCTCCCGATATATTGCTCCCTGATATATTGCTCTACCTCCTCCCTCCAGCAGTGCAGGGGCAGGGAATGGGGGGTGCAGTCAGTGCTGCTGCTTCTTCGATCTTCAGTGGGGGGAGCTTCTGGAACTTCTTCCCCCTGCTCCAGTGTGGTCTCCCTCTCACAGGAGACAGTCCTCCACAAACTTTCTTTGACATGAGTCCCTTCCATGGGCTGCAGAGTTTCCCTCACTGCTCCAGCTTGGGACACCAACTTTCTCCAACTGGAGTCCTTCCCACGGGCTGCAGCCCTTCCTGAGCTGCTCCGGTGTGGGACACCCCCGCATGCTGCAATCCTCCCAGCGCTGAACTACAACAGTGGGAGCTGCTTCTTCCTACAGGATCCTGGTCTCCTTTAGGTGCAGCTGCCGTAAGTGGCTGTGTAGGGCCCACCCCAGGCCGTTTATCAGCATCTGCTCCACTGTAGATCTCCATGGGTGGCAGGGGGGTGCACCCTGCCATCTCACCACAGGATACAGGGGAGTCTCTGCTCTGGCACACCTCCCCGCTCCTTTCTTCCTCCATTCCTCCACTGACCTTGGTGTTGATGCAGCTGCAGCAACTCCTCCTCACAAGTCTGACTCCTCCTCACCACGTCCCTTCTGAAATACGTTATCGCAGAGGCGCAGCTGATTGGCTCAGCCTTGGTGCAGAGGTGGAGCTGACTTGGAGCTGGGGGTGCTGTAGCCCCCTCCTCTGATACACAAAAACCCCACAACTCACTCAAACCCAGAACATCATTTTTGGTTGAATGTGAATCTGAAAATGTGGAAGGAGGTTAATGATTTATCTGTGATTATGAAAACTATATATTTAAGAATGGAACAGTGATATGTGACTGAGGAACACAATGGAAAAGGAGAGTTCAAAATAGTATGCTGGAAGAAAAATACAGATTTTTACCGCAGATTTAGCAAAGTGCAGTCTGAGGTTCCCTTTATAAAAAGAGCTAAAATCCACTGAACATTTAATACCAATAGGGATTGATATAGTTTTGATTCTAACAGTTATATTTCAAAGCTGTTCAAGAATACGACTGGACATCCCCCTTCACCCCCGAATTGAGGTATGCAAATATTGAAAAATCTGGTAAAAAAGATACATATTCATTTTCAAGTATTATAGAAAAGAAATTTGAGTCTAGTTTGGAATTCCCCCAAAAATCTTTTCATTGCCTTTAACCTATAATTATGTAAATTCCTATTTTCCTCACCTAATTATTTCTGAGAAGCTTTTAGAGGAGGACAGATTGTTACAACTTTCATCGCAAAAGTATTGATTTGATCTCTGGGGTTGTGCCCTTTTTCTGTGGTAGTTTCCTTGTCCTCAGACTACTTGATTTCATCTATATGTATGGTTATTCCTACTAGTTTCTTATACTTTGCACTGATATTAAATTATGGACTTCTTCAGTATCTTCACTTGTACTGGTTTCTCCAGCAGAAAGCAGTTTCTATAATTCTCCTTGTTCCTTATGAAAGTGCAAATTTTTGCTCCATTTGGATGAAATCTTAGTGTTCATCATATTCCCCAGAGTTGAATTGATAAATTCATGGTTTGAAAGCTCGCTATGGAGATTTAATAATATCCAGGGTTCACCCAGTAGGCAGTAGTGCAGAGGGGACTTGGAGCGACATCCTTCAAAAAAACTGTGCTTTAGAGCTTGGAATATGTAGGCCAACTGTTAAGACAGGCGGCTCTCTTGATGTGAATAGTAATAGAACAGATGTGCAGCCCTAATCCAAATTTAGGACCTGACCAAACCATGGGTGCGGCTGTATAATCTGGCATGGGGACACATGCTTAGTGCGTACACAGTAAATCCAGTGTGTTCTGGATGTGTCAGGCTTCTGCAGATCAAATGTGTTCAGGGAGTTTGTGCTGAGGGTGTTTGCAGGCTGTGTACGTAAACTTGGAACTTGATTGTTAAATGTGCAACCAATCCAGAGTTTACTGTCAATAGGCAGAGTGATTGCATGTACTCACTGATTACTTCTCGTATGATTTCAGACGTTAGGTAGTTGCTTGGCAGCTTCTGCTCTGGTGGGGTGGCCTGATGCTTGCTTTCCTGGGTGGTACTGCTGAGCAGCAGTAAAGGCTTTTAGTTCCTCTCTAGTTGTGCTTAGTGTTCTATGGTCATTACCTAATCCTTACCCCTGTGAACTAGGTAAACATTCTTAATTATTCATCAGAGAAATGGCAAAAACCTCCATCCTGTGTGTCAGGTTGAAAATTCTCATACCCTCTTATTACAGCCACGGATGTATTAGAATTTTAAATAGGAACACTGCAAGCTACATTTTCTTTTTATTATTACAATACTTCTATTCATTTACCTTTTAATATCGCCCTTTGGTGTTTAGCTATTCACATTTGCATTATGTAGATGCATGTTTACATCCTTCATCATCATGTTTCAGCATAGATTTTTGCTCTACATAGAATTTAATACTGCCTTCACCCTCAGACAACTGACACTGCCTGGCCGTGTCCATATTGTTAAATCCTGTTGCCTTCCAGACCAAGATGACCTCATCCAAATTGCTTGTTGGGGATGGTTCTTGTACTCCAACCCCTTACCTATGCCTAGAAGTTGCTTGATGGAAGTCACTGGCGCCTCAGTCCAAAACTATATTATGAAACATTCTAACAATAAGAAAAATATCAGAGTTTATTGATAACATCATATTAAGAAATTATTTTTTTACCCACCTATCTCATGAACAAATATTTTTTGCTGTAACATTAGTGGATGATAATTTGAGTTGTTGTTATAACACTTGTTATTTTCCATGTTGGCGCATTTGCTTCCTAATGTTTTAGGGAAGCCAATGCTTACAATATGTTTTGCTTAAAAGTGTTATATAACATAATGTCAAGATACAGTTTTGAACACGTGTAGTATAGCTTTCTTTTCTGCTCATATCATAACATACCTTATGAAAAGGATGCTAATAGATGTGGATTGTTTTACATCTATTTTGATGAACTTATATATGCTGCTAAGTACATTCCTTGACTGGTGCATAGTGAATAACATGTATTCTAATTCCCTACAAGCCCCTTGCTAGAGGGGAATACTTTTTTGTTTTAGTAAAATGTTAATTATAATAATCAGGTAATGCAACATTTGCTGGTGTTAAACTGTGTTGGAAGACCAGTGAATGGTCATATTGTCATATTAGTGCCAATATGCTTTGGCTGCGGGGGTCAGGACTGGATGGTTACAGGTAATATTTTACATGGTACTTAACATCTCTCCTAACTGTTCATAAGATAATGCTTTGGAGATGATCACTTGGTAATCTATTGCCCTTTCAGTAAATTGTAGTAAGTATAGTTACTAGGACTATTTTTGAATATACAGAATGCTTTTTGCAGGATTTCATGTGATGGCTACATCAAAATACATTACTCTGATATATTTGGGCCTTAGATTAGTTACAGTCCTAAAAAACCATTATCCTAAACCCCAAACAGACCACAGATATAGTGAGGCCTGATACTGTTTACTGAAAGACACTTTTTCTATAAAGCAACAGTTTTCTTTTCAGCAATTCTTTACTGAAGTTAGTTTCTAAAACAGTGCTAAAATACTAGGAATAATGTAAGTAGTAAATAAGAAGAATGAACGGAGTAATAAATACTTATGAGATTATTGAATAAAAGGGTTTCTGATAAATATGCAGGTAATATGTTAAATCACTGCTTGTATTTAGTATGTATAACTTAACATCTTAAACAAATTAAATGTTCAGTTGGTGATAACACATTGCCTTTTCAGGTACATGTGATCAAAGAGGTGGCAGCAATGGCTCAAGAAAAGCTTGGTGTGTCCTGTGAAGTTATTGATCTGAGGACCATTTTACCCTGGGATACAGAGACTGTTTGCAAGGTAAGGAAATGATGCATGTTAATTTAAAAACACAACAAAACAAAAAACCCCACTAATAACAACAATTTAAATGCAAATAAAGATGACTTTGTTCTTTAAGTATTTTGAAAGGCCTACATTTTTTCCCTGTGTTGTATATATTGTTCTGTATTTTTTTGTTCTGTGTCACATATGAAGAGTAAATGCACATTACATGGTCCAAACATTTGCTTTATCATTGAAAGAGAATTATGTTCCAGGGTTCAAAATAATGTTAGAATACATGTTCTTTGCATTGCAGCAGAGAGCAGGATTTAATCAGACTGGTTCTTGAAAACTGCTTTTCTGTGATTTCTAGCTCTTTCTATCATCTTTGCTGTCTTTGAGTCTGAAAAGATCAGGTGAAGTCTTTATCTTTTTTTTCTTGCTGTTTTACACCAAGACCTTTATCTAGTCTTGGGTCTGCAATAATGTGCCTTAGTTTTGTTTATCCATATTTCTAGAAAGAAATGTTTTGATTTAAGGTATTCTTGGGCTGGGGAGAAAAGGCAGCATTTACTATCTCAGAGTATCTGGCTTGAAATTCATGGGTACTGTGAAGTCCTTGTTTGCTCTGTGGGAGTCTTTAATTTTGCACAGAATTTATTTCAAAGCACTGGGCAGTTGAAACTAGAATTTGAATTTCCATATACTGAGAAACCATGGGAAGTGGTTATTGTACTTCTATATACCTTGGTCTGCTTACCTTCCCCCTGCCGTACTGCTTTCTCTTCGGCAGCTAAGAGCTATTTGGAAGAAAGAACTTAAAGGAAATAGAAGGGGCAGTATTTTCTGAAAATCTTTGTAAATGTAAGAGAGAATCCCAAAACTGCCATCTGGGAAATTAAAAAAACCCCACCAAACAAACTGGAGGTCATTAAAGCAAAATCTTGTATCTGGAAGACTTGCTTTCCCTCCTCCCAATTATTATCTAACTTTTTTCCCGTTGTTCTGAATTAGCAATTTTTTGTGTGCATTATTTATAGTGCCTGTAATATATTTTTTTTCCCCTTCACTTCTCATTTACCCAGTCGATGAGATACTTTTACCATTCATACATGAATAAACTTAGATTCTGCAAAATAAGTGTTAGTATTGCTGCATTGGGAGTACTCTTACACAGTTCTTTTTTATAACTACCTCACGATAATTAGTCTGAAATCTCTTCCATAAAACCATTTTTTTTGTCAAGCAATGTGAGAACTGTGAGAGAAGAGCTGTTACCTGACTGCCATTCAACAGTACAAATGCTGGTGAACGTGCTTTTGGACTGCAATGCTCCAAAAGGTTCTGCAGGTGTTCTTTTTCTTTGTGTTATTTACAGCATTAACAGATAGAGCATAGGCAAAGGTTTACCCCTCATTTCATGGTAGTAACTGCCTTGATTTAACCTTGGACAAGTTGTGTGGGTTAGCAGTGTGCTCGCTGCTTCTACTAGAGCTGTGAGTTTCCTTAAGCTGGCAAATCCACTGTCCCGCAGGACCATGGCTAACAACTAATTCAGTCTCTGTACACTAGCTCATTTTATGCTGTTGATCAATCAAACTTGAGAGATGTTTGCAGCTTAGTTAACTCAGGCCTAGTAACTGTAGTGTACGGAGTTAAGATAACCATAGGGATGAGAAGAGCCATGGGCTTGAAAAAGGTGTGTGATTCCATCAAGTACCTTCTCTGCCTGCAGTTTCTAATTTAAGGCAATAAGGTATCATATCTACAGTGAAGTCAGATTGTACAGATGTTTAAATAGGGCAGATCAGGAGCACCTCCTTGTCTGATTCTCTCTGTATATTCAGAGTATCTTACTTGTGTAGACAAGTGTTTTGTCATTCTGTAGTTGCTCAGTAAAGGGCTTGCTCTTGGTCAGGTAAAATATAAACAGATTAAGTGTCATAAAGGGGAAGATGAACCATCGGTCCACCACTCTATGGCAAAGCTTGTAATTCTCCACGGTATGAATGTTACTGTTATGTTTGTCTGAGGGGCTGCCAGTGGAACTGGATGGAGCAGATTATGGGAGGACAGATCAACGTTGGGTGTCCGCTATTGGCAGTGTCCTATTGTCCAGTTGTGGACGTGTAACAAGTTGTATACTTACACACATTGCTATGTGTTGCTTCATATAATTTTGATCTTCTCAATTGAAGTATTTTCAGTGTTTGTTTTCAGTATAATTTCATGTTACTTGGATGTACTTTCTATCTGTAAAAAATGAAATGTGTTGAGTTGTTGTCATCAATATGAAGAGAAACTTTGGCAGTAATAAATGCTTTACAATCCCTTCTGGACGAGTAAAATTATTCATTTTTTTTATAGTTATTTTTTTTTTCCTTTTTTCAAAGATTTGAGCTGTCATTTTGTGAAAACAAAGCATCTCTTTGAAAGAGCAGTTAAGTCTGTTTTGTTGGATTGGACATATACTGAAATGCTGTCAGGAAAAAATGCAGCTGTGCATAGGAAGTGCAGATCTTTGTTTGTACAATGTTATGCAAATCTGTACTTTAAAAATAGATATTCTGTGAAGATTTTCAGCTTATGTTTCATCCTGAACATCTTTTAAGGTAACTGTGGCATAAATAAAAAGATGGAACAGATAAACCTGTTGCTTTAGATCTGTTAATGAGTTAACTCTCTTTTAATTCTTAACGGTAATTTCAAGAGAAATACAGTGCACATTGGCTAGGCAGTTCAGCTATTTATTGTAATAATTACCACATAATAAATGTTTTTTAGCATTGCTGTTATGTTAATATAGCTGCAGGCTGGCCAGTCTGAAGGGAGAAATGTTAAATTATCTACTTCTATAGATCTTGTCTGTTTTGCTCAGCTGAAAATAATTAGTGATTTGCATTTGGTACTATGCAACACTGAAACTTTTTAATTTAATTTGCATCGTGGACAACTTTTAAGGTAATGGCCAACATAAATAGAAGGATGGAAACTATAGTTGCAGCTGCTTCCTGTAACCTCATCCCAAGAGGAACTGCTTGGTGCAGCTGTTGCAGATGATGGTGGCTGTCAGGGTCAGATCTGGTGACAGGACTGACTCCTTTCCTCAGATGCTGTGTCAAGGACCAAGAGAGTGATAGAAAAGTTAGCTGTGCCAGAGAAAATCCTTGGCTGTCCATTGGTCTGCTTAAGTTCTCTTTGCAGGCTCTTAAATGATAATGGGATTGCTTTTACTCCAGTCCAACCAATAAGCAAATTATCAGGTCTTATAGGTTGCACTTTGCCTCAGACTATTACTTATGTCAGACTCCATAAATCTCAGGCCAAGTGTTTATGTTTTTTCTTGTCTTACGTATGTGTTTGAAATACATCTTGTTATCTTCTTGTCCTGTTGGACCCAGAGGAAAATGATAGTGCATGTAATGCACTGCAACCTTATTGCTATTGTGCTGGTGCTGGGCTGCATGGTCCTCTGCTGATGGGAGTCTGTGCTGTTATCTTATTGAAGAGCAGGTCTTTGGATTTTGATGTAAAAACACATATCCCTCAGTTTTACTGCTGGGAGTGGTGTCTTTTGTGATCAGAATGGGCTGTTACTTCAGTCCTTGGCCTGCTGCTGCTTTCAGTCCCTGCACACTCACATCTCCATTCACATCTTTCATGCCAAACTTAACATACCTGTTACAATTCTCCATATTGTTATGATTCTCCTGTCTGCTGGCTCTTTCTAGAAGGCAGGGAGCCTTACCTAGCTTCTTGTAGGTTGTGTGACTGTTCCTAATCATGTGCCTAACGTTAGGGTTCCCTGTGTTCCATATGGGTCAGTGTCATGAAGCTTTAATAAAGGAATTGAGTTTTACAGAAGTTGTATGCATTTACCAGTCTAATATGTTTTATGCTGCAGGCTTATTTTATTCTTATGCTTACCCAGGGAATGCTGCATTTTTATACAGGAATATTTCTGTGAATTTTCCATGTCAATCTATGTAATTTTTAAAGAAAATCAAGGAGCCTTCATGGTTGATGTGGGGGAATGAGCAGTCCTCATAACCTTAACTTTCTACTATCTTTAACACTGAAGTTATTTAATTTCTAAAGTTTTCAATGCAACTATTTAAGATGCTTTACTTGTCTTAAAGTTGCATACATTTCCAGTTTAATTTGACACCTGTGCTGTAGGCATGAAGAAGGATGAGCTGAAATGGTTAGTGCTTTGAAGATGAACAGTAATATGTCAATTTTTTCACTGAAAATCTAACTGCTTAGCCTGCTTTCTGTATCTGTTTCTGTATAGAAAATTATTTAATCAAAATGCATATTTCATAAAACCATGAGAAGTCATACTTCACAACCGCCACCAGAGGCCTCTTTTTAGCCAAGTTAAGCACCTGCTTCAACTTTCAATTGTTCCTATATAGCTCTGAATGAAACATAAACAAGCATAAATAAAAAATATAATGCAGCAATTTTTATTTGTGTTCCTAATTTTATAATTATATATTTCAATCATATAAATATGATATAGTATATAAATATAATATAAACTTTAATTATAAACAACACACTAAATATATAATACATACTTATAAGTATTATGTGTTATAATTTATAATATTTTCTTTGTATTTTTAAGATTTTGAGATTATGTTCAGTTTTGAAATAGGTTAGCATTTGTCATCTTCATGAGGAGGAGATGAGGGTGCATCTGCCTGGACCATACTGCTGTGAGCTTTGAATGGATCCCAGCAGTAATTGAAACCTTCTTTTCAGTATTATTCCTGGGATGGGTAAATGTGCAAACAGAGGCTAGATTTTTCTTTTGTCAATGTTCGGATGTGTAAGAATAAGTATTGAAGTTTGAGCTAGTTACAGTAGCTCATAGAGTTATTCTAGAGAAAGGGTATCTCCTGAGGGTCATTCATCCCAGCTGTTTCAGCAGCCTATTTTGAGATGAGATAAATTGGCCTCTGGAAATGTCTTGGTTTAAAAGTTTAAAAAACCCCCAACCAACTAACCAAAAAAAAAACCATAAGGGA